GAACTCGCTTGAAGATTAAGACTAGATAACTCGTTCTGAGACACTCATAGGAATACTGACGTACTTCAGTGGTACTAGTGGTTTTCTTATGGGTGGCAAGAAGCTTTGTAGCTTGTCACTTTTAAATGTACGATTAACGAGTATGATTGATCTGGTCAGTGCTAAACCATTGAATTGATGGTTGGCGGGTTTGATCCATTGAGCCCATACGACTCAGTTTTTTGGGCTTTTTTGTTATTTAAAGAAACTCATTTTTTTTATATACATATAGTTTCTTGATTCTCTTAGCTCTTCGACACGAAATTGTTAGAAAAGTAAGATAATGAAAGAGTAAGAGAATAATTAACCCCTATTCATGACTTGAGGGATGAGATGATCGCAACAGATATTTTGCTCTATCGAGTTTGTTTGGAGATATTTCTATTTATATTCAATCGAAATGGTGTTTTCCACCATCAATAAGCTTTGTGGGCTATACTTTGAAGAGTAGTTGCGAGAGTTTACCATTGAGCTTTAAATTTCTTTCCTCTTGGAGCTCAGAAGTTACGCTTGCAGGGAGTAGTCGCGAGTACTTTCTTTCCTCTAGGTAACTATGAATTGTTTTTCATTCAGGTGCTCTCGCTTTCTAGGTGATGTAAACAACTCATTTCGTGATTTTGACTCATAGATGCTTCAGGAAATTTTTTCCTTACGGAGTTACCAAGGCTAGAAGCACATGGTGTTATAAGAGACATGACTTATTGCAGCCATCTGGAGATATGTACTTCTAAGAAGTGGAGTAGAATGTGGAAAGTTCGAAACTTCCCCATTTTGGAGAATGTGATGATGCCGACTTTTTAAAATTGTCAAAGAATAACTATCAAGTCATTTAGAACAAGTATTATGAGGACAGTTCTGTGTCCATCGATACACTGTAATCTTTTCATAAGAAAAAAGATAACGTTAGTAACGACTTAATTAATTTCGGTGGTTATAAAAAGAGTTTTATTGTGTTAACTTAAGAGTCACTTAAGAGTCATGCCAATCTTTATGGAGCTTTGCGAGTTGGAGGCTTCATTCTTGTGCTTTGTCCTTTGTTTTCAAGAATCTATCATCACTTAGATCCTGCTCCGATGAGAAAGATCTCCAAAGAAAAGATAAATGTCACAGAAGAATGGTGAAGGTGATTGTTCTGTGAAAGCTGAAGAGAGGGAAGCATTCCAAGGGTTCACACGATTCGAAAGGAAAGAATGGCGGTGCAGAGAGGTCAAAGCTCATCAAAGCAAGAGGGCTGTCAGACAATTTCACGGGGAGCGTTGTGACCCCAAATGTGAACTTGGAAGCGGATTTAAATGAAATGGCTTCGAAAGAAACATTAGTGCCACCAGTCTTGGATTCTATTCCTGGCGAACCGGAAGCTTTAGTTTTGAAAGTTAGCGCTAAATCACCAGTTTCTAATTCTTTGATTAAGTGGAAGGATTCCAACATAATCACTTTATCAGAGTTGTGCTTTGGTGACTATGCATTGATTTCTTTCATCTTTTTTGGTTTTTTTTTGCTCTACGCTTTTGTTGTTCTAGTTGTTACTTTGCAGAGAAATCTATCGATCAACGATTGAAGCTTGTGACTCTTCTGAATGATTCCTTTTTAAAAGATGCCGAAGCAGTAAAAAATTGACTCGTGGAGGTGGTGGGGAAACTCGGTAGGATGTAGGCGAACTTACTTCCGAAGGTAATATTGGCTAATCCTTTGTTGACGCAATCCATTTATATTGTTTGATTATCCTATGTTTATAGGCGGACGAGATGTCATGAAAGTTGATGAGGGTAGAGATAAAATCATGGAAACGAAGCTCATTGTCTCAAAAGGGCTTTCATTGGAGGAGAAACTAGTGGCCATCGCTAAGAATAGGCCATTAATAGAAGTAGATGGAACCGTCTTGCTTGCTTTTTCTAATGTTGACCTCTTGAATCACATAAATCGATTGAAGGAAGAGTTGTTGTCAACTCACCAAGAGTTAGAGAGAACCAATGAGAAGCTTGCGGAGCTCTGAAGGGGCTCATTGAAGTTCGTGACGAGCTATTGTTCGTAAAAGATAAGACTGTGCATCTTCAAGACAAGTCGCTCGATATGCAACTTCATATCATGAAGTTGGAAGATGACTTCCAGCAGGCTAAGAATCACGATCTTTTTTTGGCAGAAAATTGACAAGGGATTTTTTAGAGATCCAGGAGAACCGTAGAGAGTTTGAGAAATAAAGTTAATGTTATTGCTTCTTCGTTAGCAAGTTGAATGACACCCAATTTGGACAGTTTATTGCAGGAGGGCAATTAGCCATGAAAGGACTTCTACAATCCGTGAAGATCGATTTGAACAATATAAAGAATCAGAATTTAGATCTATCTAATGAAAGAGTATGATTGAATTTTCTGTGTTGTAACATCTAATGCAGAACATTTTTGAAATTTCTTTTTTCTTTGAAAGATGGTCCGTATAGTCTTTGATGCTAAAGCATGGGCACACCATTCTTGTGATGATGTCTTATTTATTACGAAGCAACTTCCCGATTTTCAAATATTTAGCTGACCTCCTTTTTGCTTTTGGGAGCACTTCCTCTTTTACTCTAACAATTATATAAGGGTTCAAACGATTCAAATTCTTCATTCCTTTCTCAATTCCTTCTTATTTGGCTTTAGCATATTTGAGTTGTGCCCTAGCTTTTTCCTTGCGATTTTTCATTTTGCAACCATACTAAACTTAGGAGATTCCAGCTCGGAGGTGGATATGGTTGCCATTGCTATGGAGAGTAGTAGCAAAGCTTTTTTTGCTTTGAAGATCTCCGAGGGATCTTTGAGGAAGCTCTTGCCAAGATACAGAGAGATTGTATCTTCAACGATTCCTACATTCTTCAGCTATCTCGGGAGGATGAGGCTCCAAAGGCTGTACTTCCATACGAGGTGTGCAATTACCAAGATCTATTCCGATTTGGCCTTCATTTTCCTCCGGCTTGGCTCCAAACATTAGAGGTGTAATGTGTTGGAGTGTTGAATGATGGCGGATGAGTGTTGGAAGGTGGTAGAGATATTGGAAGGTGTTAGAAGATGGTGGAGGCGATTAAATTGTTTTGGAAGGGGTTTGGGCGTATAGAAGGGTGTTGCTAGATGGTAGAATGGTGGAGGAAGAGGGCTTTAGTGTTTTGGTAGGAAGGAGAGTTTAAGGAAAGGTGCTTGGAGTTGAGGTGTGAACTGCTCAAGGCAATAATGAAGAAGAGCATTTTTTGAGCTTTTTATAAGATTATAAAATACTGTGTAAGAGCAATAGTTTAAAATCTTGCATTTGGTCCTCTAAATATTTTTTCGTCCATCCAATAGGCTTTAGCTAACATGAGTTTTACTGAATTTAGGGGTGTAAACGAGTCGAGCATGAGCGAGCTTTGGTTTAGCTTGTGTTCGACTTATTAAAAAATACAACTGCTCGTGTTCGACTCGTTTATATTTCAAACAAAAAAAAATTGTTCTTGTTCGGCTCGCTTTGTTAACGAGCCGAACAAACACGAGTTCGCTAACAAAAAATCATTTTGACAATTCTAGTCATGCATGCAGCCGTTAGGGGTGTAAATGAGTCGAGCTTGAACAAGTCCAAACTCGACTTGTTGAAAAATCACTGTTTATGTTCGGCTCTTTTATGTATCTAGCTCAAAAACTTTGTTTGTGTTTGATTCGCTTGATTATCAAGCCGAACACGAACTATTCATGAATAATAAGCTACTTTGACAACCCTAATCACATAGACGTAGGATGTTAAGAGTAGGGCGAGATTTAAATATTGTTATTTATATTAAAATATTCATTTAAATAAAAATTCATATATTTTTATTATATTTTTAATTGATTATAAATCTTTGTATTATTATAGTCAATTAAATTATTTAAAAATAATACTCATTATATATATATAATTATTTCGAGTCAAACAGAGCCGAACACGAACAAACAAAACTTTGTTTGTGTTATGCTTATTTATATATCGACTGCAAAAAAATTGTTCGTGTTCGGCTCGTTTTCTTAGCGAACGAATCAAACACGACGAGCCAAACAAGAGTTGTTCGCAAACAACTAGCCATTTTAACAACCTTAACAGAATTAAATGGAAGGTTTGACAAATGAAAACTTACTATTTAGTTTTGTTGCAGTATAATCGGTGCGCCAAAATGCAGAACAGTGCTTGTTGGGTTGAGTCAAAATAGTAGCTCAATAGTCAATATCACGCATTAAGTAAACAGTTTAACATGCCAACTATACAAATTCTATTGAAAAAAAAATTTTCGTTTTTAGTTAAATTCAATGAGATGAAATGCATGAGTTTTCTCTTGAAACTTCGAAAATTTTATGTGTGTGTAGTTATCCAGTGTATCACCACATCCTCTATATATTTCAGTAGCTGTGTAAAAGTGAAAGTAATTGCATGTATATATTTGAGAACATGTATAAATATGAAGTTGAAGCAACGAAACCTTCTAGAAAATTGGAAGACATGTACAGATGCACCTTAATAGCAGGCTTTGTATGCTAAACAATGTAAGTTATTAAAATAATGGAATTGAAATTCAATGTAAAAGTTGTGCACTTGTAAGTTAAAACAGATAGAGTACATACATTACTTCTGCAATTATGCATCTGAGTCTATGCTCCTCAAAGAGCCACATGATTCAGACTTTTATTTCTCTATTGAGTTCTCCTCATCCTTAGTCTCTTTAGTCTCTACATCAAACATTGCTTTTTTTCTACCACTTCTATTCAATCAGGAATCATAGAATAGTTGAATATTTAATTTTGTTGATCTTATGCTGAACTAATGATTAATATTAAGCACTCTTCTAGAATTATTATATTAATCACCACTTGAACAGTGCGGCATTTCATTTAGTTTACTCTTAACTGAATGACCTCATAATTTTTCATGATTAATGCATGATGATAATTTATAAAATATAATTAAGTATTTTACTTCTGCATATAACTATGAGGGAAATTATCTTTTTGTAAACATTTACAAGTCGTGCGCTGTTATACTTGCATTTCTCCTTAGTTGCTCATGTCAAATCTGTTGCATAAATTAAGTGCACTATTAAATCTCCATATCATGTTCATAATAGAAAAACATACATTGGAATAAGAATGATCTTACCTAAATTTATGTGTTTGTTTTCGTAAAAGCATAAATTCTTGCAACTTTGTATTCATCGTCATTTGCACGAACTATGCTTACTTAACGGCATACTTGGATTATTAAAAATATAAATGACCGTAAGTCAACTTATTTGCATCATCATTTTACAATAGTTGATTCCATTTCATTTGATTCCAGATATATAGGTAGAAACTTGATATCTCTTTTCCATATAAGCTTCACAAATTAAGGCTTCATCATTTTTGTTATTATGAACCTTTTTTTTTAAGTGGTGCATTGTCATGAGAAAAGTAATGGCAATATATCATTGGCCACAGTAAGTTAAAATACTAGAATTATAAAAAGACCATCTTTCAAATGAATATATTCATCAATATTATGCAAAACTATTAACTATTAGTTCAGAGGCAAAAATATTCAATAAGTGCTGCATGGAATAAAAAAATGTCAGTGAAAGAATCTTCTCAATTTTGCAAATTGTTTTAATTTATTCAAAAAAAAATATTCATGTATTCAGTAGATATATAGATTAAACAAACATGATGGAAAAAATGAAATATTATGTATATATATATTTATCACAAATTGCCTGTGGTAACAAGTCATGCGAAACAGTAGAATGCATTGCATTTCCAATGCGTCCCGCCAAACAGTGAAAAAATTAATTTACGAGATTAGAAATACAATACCTAGCTTTTTCAGCCTACCAAACAGCCCCTAAATATCAACAATATTCTTTGCATAAAATATATGACAACATGCATTTTCTTGTCATAAAATTTAAACCATTCAGGGTCACACATTTTAGCTTTTTGATATTAGTCGTCCAAAAATTTTAAACCTTTAATCCATTCACATATATTTAATTGATCGATTTTAAATATGTTTATTATTTTAGTCTGGAATCTCTTTCCATTGCTCAATTATTTGAAGCTTAAGCTTTTGCATATCAATGATAAATCTAATCTTGTTTTCATATTATCTTTAATTTTCACCCTTATATTCATTATTTTATTGAAAATGCCTTTAAATACAATTCTTGTAATATGCATCACATTAAAATTATGAGAAATATTATTAAATTACATGATAACCTCTAAAATATATTCATTTTTGTCTATACGCTTTGCCAAATGCTGAAATAATATGTTTGCCACTGCAATCCTATTATATTAATCCTCCATGCGTGTGCTAAAATGGCCTCTCCATTTTGATTGTTTATGGTTCAAATATCTTTTCAATGGCTTTGTATGTACTAAGTCAACCAATTTGCATTATTTTTTTTTATTTTAATATTTGAAAAACGTTTTCAAACTGATGTTGCAAGCTGCAACAACTATGGCTACAGTGGACTTGCACATCATAGCACTTTATGTAAGAAGTGGGTTGGGTCTTCGTTGTCTAAATATTGGCAGTTGATAGAATTTGAAAAAATGTCTTCATACTGCTTATGTTTTCAAATTTTTGGACATAGATTCTATAAATATTTCAAGACTTATCTCAAGCTTAGAAGCCCTTTATTTAACTCATAGGACGGTACACGTGATGAACTTTTGGTTGAAGTCCACCCTTCTATTGTTCAAATCCATTCTCAAAATGTGGATTTGAGTTCAGATCCTCCTCAAGCGAAAGTGGTTTCCGCTTCTACTAGTTCTGTGGTTTTGATCACTCCAACTATTACTAATATTATCACTGGCAGCTCTCTGCAATTTCTTAAAACGTCTCAACCTCTTTTCTTTGATGAATAAAACGATGACTATTTGTCACAATATATTCTTTGATTTTGACTACAACATTCAAAGTGTTGACTCTTTAGTGGATAAATAATTTGATGTTTTTTATACCGAAAGAGGTAGAAATCTGATTTATCATTAGTCTTTTATATGTACTGAACTTCAAGCTAGATGATCCCAATGAAATTTTGTATCTTTTTTTCATCTGGTTGTACTTTTTTCCTGTCATTCCTTGTTAAATGTCTCTGATGTACTCTTTTCATTATCCTGTTAATATTTCTCAGGTTAAAAAAAAATGTCATATATAATTTAGATAACCAAGATATCCTAAGAAATATTTACTTTCTACAGATGAAAGAGGATGGTCTTAATAAAATTATCCTTTTAATTTCATTAAGAATGATATATGGTGGAAATAATTGATGAAAATCAAAGAAATTTACCTTTGCACCAACCTTTAATATGAATGCTTGTCTTTGCTCCGTACAATACAGGCGTGTAAATTTTTCATGAGTACTATATCCATATAACATATGATTCATGATTACCCATATGATATCAATACTCATTTTAATCAAAGATCACAACAACCATCTTATATGTTGAATTTTGTGGTCTTGGGATGGTTAATGAGAAAAAGATGAAGATATATTTATGAAATCATGGTTGTAAGTTGTACACTATAGCAAGCACTTACACCTAGATGGATTACTTGATTGCCCAAAAAGATCAAGTTTTTCAGTGAATATATTGAGTTAGACATTATGCGCTTACGGAGCAAATGATAAATAAATACAGTTGAAGTGCTTCCAGGCTTCACTGTCAGTACGATGTAACAGCATTTCATTTTGAGTTTTGTTATTGCATGTTAATCATATTGCTTGCATAGACAACTTTTGAAGTTTTGATGGCACTGGCAAGTAGGCTATCACCTTATAATCTGCATATCTGTTCCGACTGCTCTTTTTTTTTTTTTTTTTGCTTAATTTGAGGGTGCCTATATGACACACATTTTTATTGTTGAATGGTATCATTGCAGATTATCATGTAGTTATCCATGCAAATATCAATTTTTTCAACATTAAGGTCAAGTTTCTTCATTTTTTATTTGGTAAATATCACTTTTATTTGCCTAAATTGAGTGTGTCTATATGGCACACATTTTTATTGTTGAATGTTTTCTTTGCAGAATAACAAATAGTTATCCATACAAATATCAATTTTTTCAATGTTAAGGCCAAACTTTATCATTTTTTATTTGGTAAATATCACTTGCTACCTTCTTATTTTTGGTATCATTGACTTAATAATAAAGAAGTTGATGGTCTTTAAAAGCATTTGATACATTAAATTCAAATTTACAATTACTTGTTTGAGCAATTGATAACTTTTAATGTTGCTTCTAACCTAGCCATAGAGGTTCATCAACATCTGTTATCAAAACATAAAATTTTATACTATTTACAATTATACCATAGAGTTTCAGCACGCCCTATCCCATTCTGGATGGCAAGCAACGATGTTTTATGAGATGAATGCATTAACTGAAAATTGAACTTGAGAACTAGTTGAACTACCTTATGGCAAGAAGGTTGTTAGTTGTAAGTGGGTTTTGATAGTTAAGTTTCAGTCTGATGGATCTGTAGCCTGTCTCAAAGCATGGTTGGCTGCTAAGGGCTATGCTTAAACTTTTGAGATCGACTACTTGGACATAGTCTCTTAGGTAGCTAGGTTGACTTCGGTTTGCCTACTTATGTCCTTAGTTGCAATGAATAATTAGCCCCTACATTAACTTGATGTGAAGAATACTTTTTATATGGTGATCTTTTAGAAGATGTATACATGAAGCAACCTTCTGGGTTTATTGCTCAGGGGGAGTCTGGGAAAGCATCTCATTTTCGCAAGTCCTTATATGAATTGAAGCAAAGCCCTCGAGCGTGATTTGAAAAATTTAGCCAAGCAGTAGAAGAGTTTGGGATTACACTATTTCTACAAACAATCTGCTTATAGGATTACTCTATTGGTGGTGTATCTTAATGACATTATTATTATTGTGAGCGATGTGCATGAAATCTTATTATTAAAATCATTTCTTTAAAATCAGTTCAACAGTAAAGATCTTCTTAAAATACTTCTTGGGGATTGAGATATCAAAAAGCAAGAAGGGTATCTTTCCATCTTAACAGAAGTATGTTTTGAATTTGTTAGCATAAACCGGAAAATTAGCTGTCAAAACACACAATACTCCGATGTTTCCTAATTAGCAACTTACCAAGGATGACGAGTCTTTTAATGATCCCGAACGATATAGGAAATTAGTGGGAAAACTAAACTGTCTCACAGTGACTCTCCCTGACATGGCTTGTCAGTGAGCACTATAAGTTAGTTCATGTCTTCTTCCACAGTCTATCATTGGCTTGCTTTGATACAAGTACTATGTCACCTCAAAAAAGCTCTGGACAATGTATTATGTATCATCATCACTGGCATAAAAATGTTGAATATTTCTCTAATGCAGATTAACAAGTTCTAAGATTTATCGGAGATCTATTACTGAATATTATATTTTTGTTGGAGGTATTTTGGTCTAATGAGAGAGTAAGACACAAAAATGTAGTGTCCCGATCCAATGCAGAATTTGAATATCGAGCAGTGGCACAAACTTTAAGTGAATTGATGTGGGTTTCTCAAATGCTGGCCGAAATGTGTTTTAAGATGACAATTACAACAAAGTTGTGGTGTGATAACTAAGTTGCAATCCATATTGCTTCAAACCTTGTCTTCCATGAATGCACTAAGCACATTGAAATAGACTGTATTTATTTCAATATTGTTTGATTTCTACAGCTTATGTAAAAACTGTGGAACACTTAGGAAACATCTTTATATTTCTGATAAACTGGGCATAATAAATATCTATACTCCAGTTTAAGGGGGAGTGTTATGCAAAATAATAGATTTGATGGTTCTATATTTGGAAGTTTTATTTTAAGAAATCTAATAAATTGGTAATCTAATTAGAGGAGATTTAATTACAGGATAATCTATGGAGATTGGATTGTATATAAGTAGATAACATTTGCTTTAAATAGGGGAATAAGAGAAATATGTAGTTTTCCTTCACAGCTTGAAAATCAGTAAACCCTAAGAAATTTAAAGATACAATAACATGATTTCTGTTGAATTATTTGTTTGGACTATTAAAGAAATTACACTGGTTTTGGAAGTCCAAAAGTATCTTTCAAAATCATGAGACTTTTGAGTTCGGTTGGGATGAGAGGACGGGAATGAGGAAATTTGATACATTTCCATCACATGTGTTCCATTATTAAGCTTATCTCAAGCATATCATGTTTAAAAAATCCCGCCCTGCCACTTATCGCTATCATCTGCTGCCACCACTTCCAGGCATATTTTGCTTTGAATTCTTTTTTCTTCGTATGAGACAAAAAAATGTGATGCCCTGTATTTGTTCTATATTAAACCAAACAACTTCATTGTATTCCAAATGCACTACATTACTTTTACACTGCATTTCTTATTTTTTGGGCAATGCGAGCGCTCGAACCCAACACATCTACACATTTCTTTTATTTGAATTCCTATTTCCACAAACCAAACAGCCCGTATATAAATTTTGAAGCACCAATCACTTCTCTTTTGGATTTGATTATGGTGGCTAAAAATGGAATTTTGGAAGTCTTCTTTTCTATCTCTTGAAATTATGACTACTTATGGTTTTTTAGAGCTGCTTCTCTCTCTAATATATTTTTTTTCTTGCGTGCAGACAAAGTTGATCGCCCTGTAAGCACCTCAATCTACTTCTTGCTTCCATCAGGAAGTATCTCCAGCCTCCATCGCATACCCTGTGCTGAAACTTGGCATTTTTACATTGGTGAACCACTCACGGTTAGCATTCTTCTTTCGTGCTATGAATTTATATAATCCATGTTTTTAGGACCTGTTGCCTTCCTGTTGCTTAAAAGTTTCTTATTAAATAAAGTCCGATATCTGCTTGTTTACTAATTTGGTAATTCCATGTACACCTTTAAGTTATAATTTTCTTGTTCCAAATTTGATACCAAAAAAATAAAATAAAAAAACTCCAGAGGACAAACTCCTAGTGGAGTCCTTTTAACGTTCTTTGCTTGTATTTTTTCTGATTCGTATTGAATCTCATTCCAAATTCCTCATCTTAGGTGCTTTTTAATGATAAATATTGTTCTATTATGGTTTCTTATGACTTTTAATGTTCAGAAAATTCTTTACTATCAGATTGTATGATGGAAATGTAGTTGTTTTTGTTCTCTCGCTACCACAACAGAAAATGGCAATATTGGAAACCTTGGGATATGTGCGACAAGGCAGCGCATGTACTCATAGCCAGAGATGTGAGAATTATTATTAGTTTGAATTATAAGTGCGGGAGAAAGAAGTTTTATTTCAAAATGAAATGTTTGAAGTGTGTAGCTAGCAGTGTGTGTTTATGTAATAAGGAATTGTTTCCCTGGGTGTGATTTCATGACCATATTGAGGATTCAAATACGAAGCTCTGAAATCAATATAATACAATGATAATATGATCTTTTCAATTAAAAAAAATCTTTTTAATTGTAATTTTTCCATTATTTTTCTCCAGTCAGGGTGCAGGAACAATCCTTTTTGTTAAATGGAAATTTACATACATACAACATAATTCTTATGTATTTACATCTCTACACCTATAACACTTTTAAACTTATGCATGAAAAAATGTATTTCACTTTTAAAAGATAGTGATGGTGATATTTTTGATGTGATGTTGAAGATTTGAGTGGTATACTGGTTAATATGAATGTTTAGGGGTTAGATCTGTAAATACATAAGAATTGTGTCGCATGTATGTAAATGCCCCTTATGATCATAAATTTTGTTATATGTTCTAAGGCATAAGGAAAGATAAAATTCCCCCTGAAATTATTGTTAACTCCTGGATTCCCATGGTTAATACCTTCTCCCTAAATTACGGGTTCTGTAATTGAACCAATAGTTAGAATCTTTATCAATAATTTTCTTATGTTGCTTCATTATCCAGATCTTAGAGCTCCATGATGATGGACATTTTGAATTCACTGTTCTTGGCTCTGACCTTGAAGCTGGTCATCGCCCACAGTACACCGTGCCACCGAACACATGGTTTGGATCGTTCCCTACCCTCGATATCTCATCGTATTCGACTGATGGAAGTGTCCTCGCGAAAGCTCCCCGTCGGGAACCCGAGCTCCATTACTCGCTTGTGGGTTGCACCTGTGCTCCGGCCTTCCAGTTTGAGGACTTCGAGTTAGCAACCCAAGCTGAAAAACTGCTTACTGTTGCTCCTAAGGCAGGGCCTCTTCTTGAATATATCATTCAATCTAATTGAACTATATATTATGCCTTGGCTTTGTTTTGCTTCCTTGAGAGTTATATGGCATCAAGTTGTGAGTCGTAATAAAATAAATTTATGATATTTAATCTTAAAATAACTATGCATTCAATTCTAGTTGTTGGATATGTTTATTTCTGCAATCTTAAGTACAGTTATTGATGGTTTAGTTGCAGGATTAGTTTTTTTACCTTAGAAATGAATGTTTATAGTTTAGTTTAATGCTTGTCATGAATGCTCCCAAAGGTATTTGTAGCTGATGGTGTTGTTGTTCTTAAACTTAGTTCACATTGTAAAATTGCATCTTTGATTTTTCTTTTTTATTTTTAATTCAAAAGAACTAAATCTAAAAGTAGTAAAACCTGGAGACGTAACTAGTGCATGACAAAGTGGGCGTTAAAGTTATTGGGTGTTGATGTTGGTGCTGACGTATCGATCTTGTTGGAGACGTCGAGTGTTGGCCTTGTTGAAAACAGTGGGCAACAACCGTATTGATTATGATAGGTGATAAAGTACCGAGCATCACAGAACCATATGTTGATTTCAACAATATTTATCTATCATGTTGATAATGATGGACATCGACACGACAACACTATTGATGTTAATTTTATGTGTTGAATTTTATGGTGATGATGGCAGCCGATCGTTCTTTTTTAGTCACAACTTGAGATGATTTTGTTGTTACAGACAACCGTTGACATTGATTGTAGATTGCAATTGGGAGAAAATGATTATTGGTGGTGATTATTGTGCAGAGATAGGTTTATTTAAATTTGCATATTCTCCACTACTCAAGATCACCCTTATGCATAGAATGAAGATTATTTGTGGAGTGATACCATGCCTATTTTAGCTTAAATTATAAAACTACATAAGATAGCATGTGTTAATACCCCTAATTATATATGATTTTTGAAGTATTAATAATTGAGTAATTTTTGGCATTAATAATTTCTCTTTTCAAGATTCTTATTTAAAATAAAAGCATTTTGCCCTTTAATAATGTCATAAAGTTTTCAATTATGCATTTGAATGCATGCATTATATAAAGTTTAGAAAATATTGAACATATTCTAAACTTCACTTAGATTTTGGGATATAATGTAAGATTTTCTCTCAATGCTTTTAGAGTGAGACTATTGGTCTTGAGATTGTGGGCAAAAAGTTTGGTGTAAATACTATTTTAGTAGTTTTTTTGTGTCATTTTTAGCAATAATAATTATATATATTTTTTACTTAATAATAATAATTATATTATTATTATTATTATTATTATTATTATTATTGGTTTCAAAATTATTAGATTACAGCGCTGTCTGATAACTAAAGCATTAATTTCAAAAAGAAAAATATCAGGATTATTGATAACCTTTATTTTTAAGTGTTGACCAATTTTTTGTTTCTTACACAATTGAGTGAATTTATTAAAAGCTGAAATTCTCAACTAAATTTTAAGGGTCTATTTTGGGAAAAAATAGTATGTTCTTAGATTATAATAGGTGTATATTTTGTGGTACTATGATGTAATATCATCACAATACCACAAAATACCACCAATCTGCATGTGCAGATTCTACAAGTAATATTCGCTTCAATTTTGGGCAGTTTTTTCAGCACTTTTTGGAGAAGCCCATCGGCGCAAAATGATATTTGGGGAGCTCTATTTTCACAATTTTTTAGTGATGTTTTCAAAAGGAGGACTTGTGCGGCATGTGAAAGTTCCACAACATATACGCTAAAATGACGACGCCACCGCTATTGAATTTGTGAAATGCCACGCCTAAACCTTAATATATCCACACCTCATGGATTTTCTTCCCTTCGCCGACCAAATAGCTATGCATGATTCTCTTCCCCGTCACTATTTATTCCTTCGATTATTCTCTCTAGGTGGATTTTAGCTTAATTTCCTTATGTTTTCTCGGGATTTTCTTCCCTTCGCCGGCCAAATAGCTATGCATGATTCTCTTCCCTGTCACTATTTATTCCTTCGATTGTTCTCTTTAGGTGGATTTTAGCTTAATTTCCTTATGTTTTCTCTCTAATGCTCACACCATGTGCTAGTTGGTTGATCTATGTGATTTGGGAATATGACGATTCTTTTCAATGTAGCTTTTATTGTCTTCAATTCTTCTCTCCATATGGATTTTAGCTTTGTTTTCTTTATGTTTTTTGTATATTGCTTACACTATTTGTTAGTTTGTTGATCTATGTGATTTGAGAATCATAGATTTCATGTTTTGAGATTTCAGATTCAACCCGTCCAAAATGAAAACCTATAATGATACTTTATGTTGGTTGATCTATGTGTTGGTGGGCTTGATCTCTTCTGAATGTATGGGTGCAAAACAAATGTATGTAATTTATGTGTTGGTTGATCTGTGCTGATTTCAGGTTCATCCCTTAAAAAATGAAAACATATAATTGTTGTTTAGGGTTATTTTTGATGGGCTTGATATTTTCAATTTGGGGTTGCTTTTTCAGTACTTTATTGAGAAGTGCATCTGCTAAATGATGTTTAGGGTTAGGTTTTGATGGGCTTCATGTTTCTGAATGTATACTACGAGAGCATCTTTCGTCCTATGAGTATGAAATGGAATCAATAATTAAATATGTAAGCATTGGTGCCCGTCTTATTGAAACACAAATGAGAAATTCTTGTTCAGATGTCAGTCCGTTGGACCACCTGAGGGCCAACTTCCACAACATGGTGAATAATAGATGATACTTCAAAATGTCAGTAATCCTCAGAAAGTAAATAGTCAACTTAAAGGAGGAAATATGACCTGTTGTATCAATCTGAATTTTGTAGGACTCCAACATGGGGATTTTGAATTTCTCCTTGGGGGAGGGGGGATGGAGCTCAACATAAAAAATTTGCAATGAAAACGTACTCTCTGGCTGACGGGACATCTTAGTACTCTTGAATTGTTGTCTATCCATTAGTCAGACCAAACACTGTTCTAAGAATCTCCTATTTTTTTTGGGGCTTGAGATAACCTTTTTCCGTTGGGCACTGGCACTTTTCACTAAGGTTTCTCCTCCCTTTCTTGAGCAATGGCTTCTTGCATCTGATCCATCATTTGGTCCTTTAACTCTTATATTTGTTGTTGCATGAACTCCCTAGTTCACTCCATGTTCGCAGTGTCGCTTTGGTGGGTTTCTTCTTCATGTTGTGCTCCCCTTCTTATTTCTAGCATGTGCCACGCTCACCAAACTATTCAGAATATTAAATTCGGATTTGTCTGTGAATGCATGAACTCCCTAGTTCACTCCATGTTTGCAGTGTCGCTTTGGTGGGTTTCTTCTAGTTGATCTTTACTCCCCTTCTTATTTCTAGCATGTGCCACGCTCACCAAACTATTCAGAATATTAAATTCAGATTTGTCTGTGAATCACACAAAATGAATAATGCGTAGAATAAGAAAGAGAGAGTGCGTAGCAGTGATCATTTGATTGAAGAAAATTTTATTGATTAGCTTTTTACTATAGAAATGACCCCCTATTTACCGAAGAGAGGGGGTACCATGTGCATAACTACATGCTTGCCACTATTTTAAAGGGGTTGTTACAAAGTATTTTAGATATTTACATAAATGGGCCTATTACTCAGCTACATATCACTTGGTCGGCTAAGATTAGCAATCCTTGGGTTAGTAAGGCTCGTTAGACCAACTATACTGACTTGGGGTAACTGATCGACTCTAGTTGATCTTCACTCATTCGGACTTTGCTTGATTGACTCAAGTGAATTGATCTGTTGATTTGGCCCAATTATTGACTATTAATCGTTAGATTAGAAACTCCTGTCGTCGGGCTGACATTAGACTATTACACAGAGAGTAAATCATTGTAATTTGATAGGTAGCTCACCTCTTGACAAAAAGATCCCTTCAGGAGTATTCGTTGAGTATATCGTGGCAAAAACTTCGGCTTCTTAAAGAGTCTCGGGGGCTCTTTTGAGGCAACTGATGATGTTGGGGCAAGAGTTGGCCTGATGTCTTCTCTTGATTTGATAGAACTTGGTCTTTGGCTCAAATGACCTTTGTTTGGCCGGCTTTAGGTCCCGATCCAAAAGGTTTGTACTTGATCAATAAGATCTTTGATCTTATGGTGGCGTGAATTTTGATCTTTCTTTTGTGGTTCATCCCTGATCATACTTTTATATATTTTATTTTGTTAAATTTTCTCAAGATTTGTGTTGGGGCGTGTTTTGTTTGGTTGCAAATTGATTTCTTCATTTTTGGGAGACAATGATGGGTTAGAATGTTGCCTCAATCTAGAATTATTTTAGCAACCTACCCCTCTTACTTTTAGCATGTGGATGGCTTTCAAGCAACGTTGATTTTTTGTGGCGTTCATGATGAAGTTTTGGACTTTATATTTGTAACAATATTTGCCTTTATGTCTTCTTTGTGCTTGCCCTTATTTGATCGTCTAAATATGCGTGCTATTACTCTCTTTGTTTTCCACATACCCATAAATGCAACCAATTTTTATGATAAATGGAACTGAGATTTTATTCAGATAAAATTTAGCTTAATTGGAGGCATAAAAACAATTAAGTTATTCAATATATTATGGAGTTTGATGTGAATGATCATACAATTATTATATCTTGATTAATTGCATGTAAAACCACAATCTAATGGGGCATGATTCAACTGATGAATTGTTGTTATTAAGATTTAAAATTTATTATATATATATAATTTATGATATAATGGTGATTATATAAACTTCATAAATAAGAATAATATTATTTTATCTTATTTAATTAAAAAATAAGTTTGATTTTTGCATTTAGGTAAAACTATTGATATAACCATCATAATATTTGAAACCTATGACCTACACATTTTGCATTTTGTGTATTGTTGCCGTTCTCTGATTGTATATGAGAGATTTTTCATTTTTTTTTTTTGTATATAAGGTATATAAAATTTCTTCAAGGAGGCATAAATTGAGAGTAATTGATAGACATGAGTGGAGATGTGAGTTTAGCTCAAAGATTGTTAATCGTTTGAAAATCGATTCAAATTTTTGTTCGGATCGAGGTTGGATCGAAATAAACAAGCTGAAACTTTGGATCAATTTTATTTTTAACCGATTTTGAGCCATGCACGGATTGGCTGAAACCGGCTAGTGATGATCCTAAAGTATTTTTTTATTTAAAAAAGTTATATATATAATGTTAAATAAAAAGAAATATAATGAGCCATGAGCCGATCTCAAGCTGGAATTGATCTAGATAACTCAATTTGAGCCAACTCATTTCGATTTTGAGCCGGATCAAGTAGATTTTAAATTGGAACGGATCCAAATAACTCAATACAATTTCGAGCCGAGCTGACTCGAAATCAAATATAATGACTGATCTCGCGTCAATTTTATGTGATTTTACCCATGTTTTTTTCCCTGCATTTTACATGTTATTTTTACCTATTTATCACAGCTTTATGCATGAGAAAATTAATATGTTGATGTTGTGCAGGCTGCAGTCATTAACACGAATAATTTGCAACAAGAAAATCCAACAAAAAAAGTGATGAATTTTGCCTCAGTGGCTTGATCTAAGGTTGATTGGAGTCGGATTGAACCAATATTGAAATCGTTAGGTTTGTTTTGTTGAGATGGTCAATATGAATATAAACTTCGCTGATATTGTGACTCATATGATTTTCAATGTAAATTTGAAAATTTTCTTATAAAAATGCATTAAGATTCGTGATTGACAAAAATTTGTTGATGACACATTAACCCTATATCTATACTGAAAAAACAAGGGAGGTTTACATGCATATCACATAACATAAATTGAGAGTAATCGATACTAGACATGAGTGGAGATGTGAGTTTAGCTCAAAGATTGTTAATCGTTTGAAAATCGATTCAAATTTTTGTTCGGATCGAGGTTGGATCGAAATAAACAAGCTGAAACTTTGGATCAATTTTATTTTTAACCGATTTTGAGCCATGCACGGATTGGCTGAAACCGGCTAGTGATGATCCTAAAGTATTTTTTTATTTAAAAAAGTTATATATATAATGTTAAATAAAAAGAAATATAATGAGCCATGAGCCGATCTCAAGCTGGAATTGATCTAGATAACTCAATTTGAGCCAACTCATTTCGATTTTGAGCCGGATCAAGTAGATTTTAAATTGGAACGGATCCAAATAACTCAATACAATTTCGAGCCGAGCTGACTCGAAATCAAATATAATGACTGATCTCGCGTCAATTTTATGTGATTTTACCCATGTTTTTTTCCCTGCATTTTACATGTTATTTTTACCTATTTATCACAGCTTTATGCATGAGAAAATTAATATGTTGATGTTGTGCAGGCTGCAGTCATTAACACGAATAATTTGCAACAAGAAAATCCAGCAAAAAAAAAGTGATCAATTTTGCCTCAGTGGTTTGTTCTAAGGTTGATTGGAGTCGGATTGGACCAATGTTGAAATCGTTAGGTTTGTTTTGTTGAGATGGTCAATATGAATATAAACTTTGTTAATATTGTGACATATGATTTTCAATGTAATAAAAATGCATCAAGATTCGTGATTGACAAAAAATTGTTGATGACACATTAACCCTATATCTATACCGAAAAAACAAGGGAGGTTTACATGCATATCACATAAAATATTTGGATTTTCATATTTCATGCATAAACTTTGAAATTTGCATACATAAACAATTTCTATGATTATCAAATATCAAAACTTTAATTTTTTACACCCAAAAACCATGGTACTGTACTTGGTACTTTTGATCTGTTGTGAAAAATTTGAATGACTTAAATATAAAAATTAAATAAAAAATTGAACTTTAGGTGTTAGATATATGGTACCATGGAATTAGGTGGTATGTATGCAAATTTCTTTGAAGTGAAATACACAAACATTGTTTTCAGAAAGCCGTTTAGTTCAAAGGCTGATGTTTGTGTGGTCACTCCGCCTCCGTAGCAAAGCGGGAACGTCTGGATCGAAGAAGGAGCACACACCTTTTCCTGAGACCTCTCGATTTCTTTGTTGTATCTTGATCTCCAAACGACGGCGAAGGTTATCGTCGAACTTTGGTTTCTTCGAGGAGTAGTCGATTCGGTTTTGTACGATACTCTGTATGCCTAGTCGTATAATCGTGTTCTTCCTATTTCACATCCAGATGGTACATGGAGAAATTTTGAGATTTTTTATGGAGGTTTGAGCGGCGATTCACTGTTTACCTGGAAAAAAAAACTAAGCTTAGCTGAGGGTAGTCTGTCTTGTGACTTTATGAGAATTACTTGTGGTTTTATTTTTGAATATTCTTGTCTGGAACTGTTCTGTATAAGTTCATTTGTGGTTTCTCGTTTTGGGTTTTTACTTTTGTTGGCGGGAATTTGAGGTTTGAACTGCTAGCTTGCATTTTTGTGTGATTTATTGGGCCATTGATCGTGCTTTGCGTAGTTTGCTTCTAGTATGCTTGTTTTATTGGAAGATTTCTGTATTTCTGTTTCGCGGGCTGCATTTCTTTTTGGCTAGGGTTTTAAGCCGTGAGCTTTTTAGTTCCGGAGGATTTGCTTAGGTTCTCTCTTGAAAATTTAACTTGGTTGGAGTGGTTACATGAGTAACTTCGGAAAAGTAAGACACTTAGGAGGCACTATTTTTAAGTTGTTTACGTATAATCTTGAAATAGTTTGGGATAATTATTTCCTTTCATGGTTTTCCTTTTTCTCAGAGAGGACCAATGTTGGGGATTTCACCCTTCTTTGTTTTAATGTTCTTTTCTGTATAAATATATTCAATTTTCCAATTTGTGTATTGCAAATTGATTTTTTTCATTCGGCAAAACCTATTTAATTTTTTCTTACGAAGGATTAGGACTTTCTTTTATCCCCTCCATGTTTGATCTGACATTATTAAACAATTGATTAATATGTCAGCATAATGTAATTACTCATAAGTAAGGACGATATATGACTGGATCATTCTGGTTCAATGAACTGTTTCCAAACTCTGTCACCATGTTAGTAAGGAGCTGGTGTGCCTTTTAAATTCCAGAATTAAGAATTTAGGGCTGAATCAGGCAACATGAGGGAGAGAAAAGTGCGGAAATAAGATATTGGCAATTGAACGGGGATTGACACAGCAATCGACAATAATGGCTACTAAGGTATGATGCGTATGAGCAAGAGGGAGAAAGAGGAGATCTCAATCTTATATTCAAGGATTTAGGCAGCATGAGAAATTCTTAGCAACTACAACTGATCCTGAAACAAATGTTTGAAAAAATCTGTTTAAGCAGATACATGGTGGATACAGGGCAGCTACAGTGAGAATGCTAGAGATCATTAAGCCTAAACCTGTTGCCTTTTTGTTTGGAACTCTTCATGCTCCAATTGATTGCTTGTTTGATAGCCGGTGTAGTAACTAGAATAATTGATAGCCGATTGTTCTTAAAATGATTTTATTTTACTTTCACTCCAAGGGAAAATCTAGTTCTGTAGCTAAGTCACAAACTTATATGATGATTTATGAAGCCTGCTATTTTATGAAACATAAGCAAAACATATTGTGTGATATAATTGGGATACAATATAGAACATTGTTTGATAAGGCTTTCCAAATTGATTTCTCATAATCAGTTTAGATTTATGCCGGGCAGGTCTACTATGGAAGCGATACATTTATTGAAATGTTTGATGGAGAAGTACAGAGAGAATAAGGAGGATCTACTACATATGATTTTTATGATTTTTATTGATTTAGAAAACGCCTACGATAAGGTTGCAAGGAAGTACTTTGGAGAGTTTTAGAAAAGAAAGACGTTAATATGAATTATATTCAAGTTATTAAAGATATGTATTCTACAATTATTACTTGTGTTTAAATAGAAGGAGGATTGACCAAGTATTTTTCTATTTCCAATTATTACTTGTGTTTAAATAGGAGGATTGACCAAGTATTTTTCTATTTCAGTTGGATTACATCAGGGATCAGCTTTAAGCCGATATCCTTTTTCTTTAGTTATGGATGCTCTTACCGAGCATTTACAGAAGAATGTACCTTGGTGTATGCTTTTCATTGATGATATCCTTCTTGTGGATAAGACTAGAGAAATACTTCAGGAAAAACTTGAATTATGAATATCTATATTGAAGTTTAAAGGCCTTCATTTGAGTATACCTAAAAATAGTGACATAGTTGTAACTATGGGTGATCAAATCATTAAAAGGTGTGAACATTTTAGATATCTCGAGTCTATTGTTCAAAGTGATAATGATATAGATGAGGATATGATATAGATGTAATGATATAGATGAGGATCTTATTAGTAGAATTCAAGTTGGTTGATTGAAGTGGAGGAATGCATCATGCCTATTATGTGATAGAAAAGTACTGCTTAGACTGAAAGGAAAATTTTATAAGATGTTGGTGAGACCTGCAATACTTTATGATGCAGAATGTTGGCCTTTACAAAAGGCATAAAATAAAGTTAAGTGTTACTGAGATGAGAATGCTTAGGTGGATGAGTAGTTTGACACTTAGAGACAAAATGTGAAATGAATATATATGTAATAGGCTTGGTGTATCTCCAATGGCAGACAAGATTAGAGAATTCTTAGATGGGTTGGTCTCATTAAACTTCGACCATTTGATGATCCTATTAGGAGAGTAGATATTTTAGATTTGACTTATGTTAAGAAAGACAGAGGTAGACCTAAAAAGTCTTGGGCATATTGTGTAAAAAATGATCTTAATCTATTAGAATTAAGTGAAAATATGACTCTCAATAGGACTAAATGGAGGAAAAGATTCATGTAGCCGACCCCACTTAGTAGATTAAAAGCTTGTTGTTGTTTTTGCTGTTGTTATTGTACATATACATTGAGATATATTCATAAATAACAAGTGATTATGAGGTATTAAGGATATCCCTAATCTTTAATCACAAACTTTTGCTTCAGTTAGTTGTTTTGATTATTTAGCTTTTGTTGTTCTTTGTATTGTTATGTAATATATTGAACGTATGATTGATCTAGATTCTTTTGAATCTAGGATTTATAGTGCTTTTTGCTTTGCAGTAGGAAGATCAGTTGATAGGTTATTTTGTCCTAGTTAAGGGATAAATGTATTCGTACTTGTTAGGTTTGTACTCATTAATGCTTTTTTGTTGACATATATTATGAAATGTGCTTTATTTGTTGGTGTGATTTCATGTGATCATATTAATGTTATGTGATATTTATATCATTTTGATTATTAAGAAATAATTATTGCCCGTACGAATCATGAATTATGCTGAGATGTATTTGAGCCTGATCACAATTTAATATTTCCTTAAGAAAATTCATTGCAATAGAAAGTCATATAATGTATCATTGTTTATAGCGGTGTGTGCTTAGTTGAACCCTTTTGAAATTTTGCTTGTTAAGCCTAACAGGCTCACAAAGTGACAACTCAATTGAAAATCATTAAGTTTTCATTAGTTGATGTTTAGCTTTTTTTTTTTTTTTTTTTTTTTAAATCTTGATGCAACCGATTATATAATAGATGCATAAATATTGTTTGCATTCAAATGACTGCTTGAATATTTAAACACAATGATCATCAGTTGAAAAATGAATTTTTATGAACTCTATTGCATGCATACATACATACATACACACATATATATACATACAATATATATATATATATATATATATATATATTGTTTACAATTGTTGTAATTTAATATCCTATTTTTATTCATACCTTTTTAATTGATCATATTTAGGGTGTGTGCTTTGCTTTTTATAATTGTGGGGTTTCATCTATTGATTTGATTTTTGCAAACTCACACATCTGCATGGATTTTAGGCCACTAATTTTGCATCAGATGGAGGATCATCCATGCTCACACTTCCAGGAGATCAAATGAGGTATTTAATATTAGAGCTATTTAATTAATTCAATGTAACAATTAAATTCTGTTTATATTTTCGTGAATATTCATAGGTATTAGTAGATTTAGATATTCTAATGATCTTATTGATGGACATAAACATTATTGAAATCATTTTTATACTTACTATAATTACTCTTAAATTTTTTAGCTCACAACCTTCTACTTGGTTTTGTGATTTCCTACCTGGTTGGTGTGACACATAAATTGCTATTTTTCTAGGTCTGCTGCTGCGGGCTCTTAATATTATTGGTGAATTAAACTTGTTTAATACTCCAGCTGGACACGAGACATGCATGGACACGAGACATGCATCGAATGGGAATATTAATAACATTTTTTGCTGATGGTATATGTTTCTTTTGCTGTTGATATTGGTGGCCCATGTTATACTGGAAAATTTTTCTTTAATGGATGGAAGCATAGTTGAAGTGATTGGCAGCAAGGGCTGCTCAAGGCTCTTCTTTAGCACTATTGATTCTATCACAAGCATTAGAAGTATGAAATCCTCAGAGTTTTTGTCTTCATCTCTTTCAACCATTTCCGGGTCTGTTGGTCCTGCTAAAATGGGACCCTTTACTGGTCTTGTCATATGTGTAACTGGTCTCTCTAAAGGTAATTTATAGTCTAAATTTTAAATTTTCTAAATACTGCAGCTTTCTAACAATTTTCTTGAGTTCTGAATCAAACTTGTTGGAAGACATGTTTAATAAACGCCTTGGTCTCTTGGAACTTTGTCAACAAGAAGTAAAACTGAAAGAACAAATGCTTTAGAGAGACTTCCTCTAGGCTATGTTAGCAGTTGTGCATATTTTAGTTGACCTATAGGCTATATCTCAACGCAAGTCCAATGGTTATAAGTTTGGTGGACCTGTTTTTTCTAGCTAGGCGTGCCTACTTTTCACAGTTATCATTTTGTTTGCTTTATTCAACTTACTGAAGTATGTCTTAACTTGCTATTTAACTTTCCACGGATATTTAATAGACAACCTTTGTTTTGGTTATGTAACTTTTTTTTTCCTTAAATTTCCTTAAAACAAACATATGATATGCATGGAATGATAGAACTTAGTTTGCAGAAAAAAGATTGCAAGAATCTAGTCTGCAGGCCCAGCTTTGTATTATAATTTTCTGGCTAGCTATTTATGTTTTTATCGGATAATCCATTTTGTTTTCTTTCAGTTAGAACTTAGAATGCAGTATTCTGATGTAATTTTTACTGTTAAATTAACTTCAACAGTTTAATCGCCCTCCTCATAATCTTATCATGTAACAGAAGCAAGACAACAGGTCATGGCTGCAGCAGAAAGGCTTGGTGGTCAGTACAGCTCTACATTGCATCCCAAATGCACGCATCTTGTTGTCCAGATATCCTGTCAAACAGTGCTGCTGTTCTTTGATATTTTAATTTTTATTGCACAACTTAAGTAGCCTCTTATTCTTGCAAACTTATGCGGCCATATTTTTGTTTTGCATCATGGTGGTTTTCATTGCTTTTGGGACTAATGTAAATTGTCATTTGTGATTGGTAGTTATGTATAATTTCATGACACAAAATTAGCTTTTAATAAAATAAAATTTGGTCTTTTGCCACCTTAACATCCGTACAGCTGTGTTGGGAGAAAGTTTGAGCATGCATGGAAGTATGGGCAAAGAAGCCGTCTCTTTGTTGTTACTCTGGGTTGGTTTGTCGACAGTGTCAGGAAGAATAGTAAGCCTTTATTTAATCTAAGTGACTTTGAGTTTCTTTGCACCATATAAGCTTCTATTCTGCTTCTAAATGAATGTCAAATTGTCAGTCTTTTATTTTGTGAACTCCCTGTTGACATTTATTTAGGAATTACATTTAATCTAATGTTGGTAAATCTAATTTTACAGCTTTTCTAAGTAGCTCTATATAACCTCATTTACTTGGGCTTCATATATTTACTTGCCCCTTTTTTTAATGATTCTATATCTTGCTTCTTATAGTGAGGTTGAATGAATCACTATATATCATTAAAAATGTTGGAGAACATGGCTTCCCATTAGTGGATTCGGATGTATCTTCTGCCCTCCCTGGAACTGAAAAGTCGTGCCTTCCGCTAGCACATATTGATGTTGATAAATCTTCCAATAGGATCAACCAGACAGGACAGCTTTGTCAACAGCCTCTACGAAATGAATGTAGCAGTGGATCTCTTTTTTCTAACGATTTTATTTTCATTGATCCAGATGTATCAGTTGAATTGAAGAAAAAGGTAAAATGGCATCAATTAAATAGTGCCCTTCTAAATGAAATATATCCCACAAAAAAAGTTTTTCTGTATTATTTTTCATATTTCTCTCTTTATAGGTTGTTGATGCTGCTAGTAGGGAAGGTGCGAAGTTCCTGGATCATTGGTTTATAGGTTCTCCAGCAAGTCATATTGTTTGTGAGAGCCCTTCCATTCAGAAGTATATTGGCTATGCTAATAGCCTTGTGACGGTAAGAAGTGTTGCATTTTAGTTGAATCTCATATTTACATAAAACATTGTTTTTACCAATTTATTTTATCATTTACATCTTTTTTGCTTTTGAATTTTTCAGCCACTATGGGTTTTCAAAACTGTAAAGGAGAAGTGCTTGCAGCGGCTAGTGCACTTATCTTCTGATCTAGTTAGGCAGGTTGCAACCATTCTCGAGAACAATCAGATCAATCAAATAGGAAAGGTACCATGCTTGATTAATGTTATTTTGCTATTGTGTCTGTGAAGTTCTTCTTTCTAGGTTTCACAATCTTATTCCTTGTCCTGCTCTCTTTCTTTGTAAAGCTGTTTATTGCTTGAAGGCTGCATTTGATAGCTTCTAAACCAAAAATTAGTTGAGATTGAGATTTACAGAACTCTCTATATGAAAATATATGGGGATTTTTTTTTTTGGGGGGGATAGACATAGGGTCTATTTGTTTTGCCCTAAAATAGGGGTACTGCATTTGGAATGCATATATTTTGAAAACTTAAGTGTTTAATTTTAGAGAAATGAAAGGGGGAATAAAATTTCAATTAATTTAAACTTACCATTTAGATCATTTATAGTATATTCTAAACTTGCATAGATATGGCTAAGTTTCAAATTCATTGCAAACTGTGGATGTTGCTGCCGCCCTTAGGCATCGTTCGCCATTGGTCACTGCCATCGCACATTTGAGTTTTATATTGATTTCATTTCACTTGAAATCAAACACAAACAAAACGAACTCCTATATTTATTTTATACCTAACCAAAAAACTTTAAAATATTTAAAATACAGAACATTTTTTTTACATCAATTTTTTTTTCAGTGAAACAATAATTGATGTGTTATGTGTATGATGGGGGTCTAAATGAGAACAAATCATAGCTTTAGAAATTCGCTTTCTTGGATTCTTTTTTCTTCATGCTCGTTATACACTTTTTAGATATCAAAAGGGTTTTGCAATCGAAGCTTTTAAAAATAGAGAAATATTGAGATATGTTAGAGATGTGGGATTGAAATAGAGAGAAAAAACATGAGAGAGAGAGAGGTAAACCTTGATATAAAGAGGTAGAGAATAAAAAAGAAGAATTCAAAATTGTTTTGTTCAACATTTCTTGCATATCCTAACGAGTGAATATATTTTTGTACTTTTGGATGAACTAAATGTAAATAAAATAAATACAGAGGACTTACAACATCTTATTACATATAAGGTTGCAAACTTAGAGAGGAATGAGCTGAAGGAAACTAGAAATATTAAAATAAATCTTAAAGTTATCTAATATCTGATCTAGTTTACATCTTGCATCAACTCAACTTCTAACAGTTCAACTAAAATCTTCTTCAAATTAGAAATTTAGTGTTATTTCCCGACAACGATGCCAAAAATTTGATACGACGGAAGTGCTATGAAACACCAACGATATATGTAAGTATTCATGCCGTCCAAGTAGTATACAGAAGTGAGTCCGTGTATCGATCCTACGAGGAACTAGTGAACTAAAGTTTGAAAAAGTTTTAATTTTCTGGTTTTGAGTCTAGCTTGAAGGTTAAAAATTGGGTCAAATTTTTTTAATCATAATTTTATAAACAGGAAACCTATGAGTTAGAACAAGTAATATAAAACCTCTCCCACATTGTTCCCATACAATATAGAACAAATTAAGTGACTTTAATGAAGTTGACAACTAGGAACAACATTTTTCCTTAGCTCCTCCTGGTGGTCCTAAGAAAATTAGGGTTTTATATTACAGTTAGTCAACTAATCATAATCATGCAAAAATTCTAGTTTTTGTAAATTTTCCTAACAATTGCATTATCCTAATAACAATATTCTTATTATCTTAGAGCAGTGTTGATTAACTAAATTGTTCCACTAGTTTACTTCCATAGTATTAGATCACGACCTATGTCAACTTCCTATGTGGTTAGTTTAAGAGTAATTAAATTCAAAAGATTAAACTATTAACTCATAATCAAATTATACATAATCACATAATTAAGGTTTTACCAACTTGTATAAAATCTAATTCAAGGGACAAATGTTTCCTACTCATTACAGATGAAAATAAAACAAATTTTATTGCAAATCTAAAACTTAAGAAAGAACGATCTCATCGATGTTCTCCACTGCTTCACATGAAATTACAACGAAATTGCTGAGTTATACACCGTTTTGAGTACATAAATTGATATACACTTGCACTTACACTTCTCACTCAGAAGAACATCCTCTCACACATACAAAACTCCAGATTCCTCCTTCGAAATGCTTCGATTGCTCCCGAGTATTCTCCTCCCTGTAGTTGGCCTCCAATCCCCTCCACTCAGTCATAACCTGACCCAGGACTTTGAATTAATAAATGTGGGTATTGACAGTCAGACAACAGGAATTAAACTTTTATATATGCATTTTCTATAACTAACATTTAGTGAAAAAATCGTTAAAAAGTAAAATAAAGTAGTATAATTAAATTTTATCTCATTATTGATTGTCTGCACATTCTATAACATTTTCTCTTATATCGCTCATTTTTAACTCATCTTTTAACTTACTTAATTAAACTGGAAATATTAATTTAAAACAACAATAAGCTAACTATAGTTAGTAAATACTCATGCTCTTAAACTACCGTAGCACAATGAACAAAAACATAATATTCATGTCAGTTTAGCCTTTAATAAATCAGTGATAAAACATTTGATAGTTTATGACTATGATCACTCATGTTATTTCATTATATTTAATATGTTTTATTATATCAATAACATGTTTATATCATTAATATCTGTATAATTGACACATGATAACTATCTAAAAATTATATCAGTCAAGATATTTCAATATCAATATCGTTTTTAATTTACATGCTCGGGTACCTTAGCATTCCCCCACCAGTTCTATAAATTGATGACTTCATCATAGTCAAGCATACACTTATAATCAATCTATGTCATTCATATCATTCACAATTTCATATCACTTAATATATAATATTTAATACTATAGTGCATTAAATATTTCATAATATGAGACTATAAAGCTTAATATCGAAATGACCGATAAAATTTAAGAATAAATGAATCAATTTAATCAAGCATGAATAACCGTTCATACAACAAGTTTAAAAGAGATACAAAAATGATACTATAATATAAAAGTATGAGTATTCACCTCAATCACCGATGATATTCTTGTAAAACGTTCTCTTCGTTTATCTCCATTGAAAACCTATAGTCAAATGCATAAAAAATTATTGTTATTATTATATGTTAATCTTATTATTAGAGTGCAATTTGCTTTTATTTTATCACTGATCTATCATATAATATTAATTATTTTTATATTGTTATCAAAATTGTTATTTTCATTTCATAATATAAATTTAATTATTTCTTTCAAACAATTTAAACTTAATAAAACATTGACAATAAAAA